ATTTTATTTACTTATTTATTTTTAGTTAATCCTCACCAGAGAATATTTTTCCATTGATTTTTAGAGAGAGTGGAAGGGAGAGGCAGAGACACAGAGAGAGAGAGAGACATTGATGTGAGAGACACTGCAATTGGTTGCTTCCCTCAAAGGCTGGGAATCGAACCTGCAACCCAGGTACATGGCCTTGACCAGGAATCGAATCCAGACTCTTGGGTGCATGGGCCGCTGCTCTAACCTGAGCAGCACTGGCCAGGCCGGCAGAGGGCCCCTGCATGTCCGAGCTGGCTGGGACACCCCGTTTGTATCAGGGATGGAGGAACTGAGGCTCAGAGAGAGGCCGCTCAGGCAGGAAGGCAGTGGCCTCCGGTTCTGGAACCTTCTCAGTGCAGGTTGTGGCTGAGCCTCGGGATGGGAGGGGACTGCCCCCCCCCCGACCTAGGAGCCGGGGTGCAGGGAGTGGGAGCGCTGGGGAGACGGGGTGACCACAGCCGCCCACCGTGTGAGCACCTGTGGTGTGGGCTGTGGGTCGGTCATCACTGAATCCACACGGCGCGGCAGCGAAGGTGGGAGCCAGGACTTGGGCGCTGTTCCCGCTCCGGCTCGCACACACGGCGGCTTGTGCCAGCCTTACCCGAAGGCCCGCGCTCCCTGGGCTTTGCTGGAAGAGAGGAGTCTTTCCCACCGAGGGGGGGGCTCCGGGACGCGGTGTGCACCAGAGCCAGTGGGGAGGTGAGAATGCAGTGCCGGGGCCTGTGAGGGGGGTCCTGTACTCGGGGAGGCTCTGGGCCGGCATTTCCGAGGGGAAACTGAGGAGAGGGGGGCCGGTGTGCATCCTCAGGCCCCGCCGGCTCCCCGCAGAGGCTAGCACCGTGGGAGGCTCACAGGAGAGGTGGGTTCCCGTCCCCTGGTCCTGCTCTGTGCCTGCTTGCCTCCCTCATCGAGCTGTGGGCTTGTCCTTCCTTCCTCCGCACATGCTGAACGCACCGCACACCGAGCCGAGGGCCTGCGCCCAGCAGATGGCACTGCCTCGTCTGAAACTGTTTGTGGAGGGAGCTACACGCTCAAGGTGGAGGGAGATGGAGGAAAGGCCACACAGGCAGGGGGCCGACACCCCCTCCCCACCCCCCGCACCCCCGCTGCCCTGAAGTCACTCAGAGGAAGCGTGGAGCCTCCTGCATGCACTTTAAAACCTGCCGCGCGGCCCGACTTGTCGCTGCATTTGCTTTCAAACATCACCTGCTGCTTCTGGAACCTGGGAGCCCGTGGTGGCTGGTTGCAGCCAGAGCCAAGATCTATGACGTGGCCATAGCCTGTTACGGCCACACGATGGCGATGCTGCGCCAGAGGATGGGAGGCCTTTAAAAAAAATCCGAAAGAAGGCGATCTAAAGACTTGAGTGTGACCAGAAGGTCAGGTCCTGGGAGGAGACACGGTTACACTTGCACCTCGCAAACCGTGCACATGCAAACCATGTACACGCAAACCATGCACACGCAAACCGTGCACATGCAAACCATGTACACGCAAACCATGCACACGCAAACCGTGCACACGCAAACCATGTACACGCAAACCATGCACACGCACACA